ATGCAAGTCAGTTAAACACAAAAGCAAAAAAAAAATATTGACACAGTTTTGCGGCACAGATCAGCAATCGTTTACGCAAAACACTGAATTGCCAAGGCTGCCGAAATTAACACCTCAACAGCTGAGAGCATTGAGGAAGCTGAGGTTGTGCTGGTAGTTGTGAGTAATTCAGGGGAATTTGAAGGGTTAGTTGATTCAGTTGCTTTTGGTGTTGTTGTTGTAGATGCTGTCGGTGATGTTGTTGGAGATGCTGTCGGTGATGTTGTTGGAGATGCTGTTGGTGATGTTGTTGGTGATGCTGTCGGTGATGTTGTTGGAGATGCTGTCGGTGATGTTGTTGGAGATGCTGTTGGTGATGTTGTTGGAGATGCTGTCGGTGATGTTGTTGGAGATGCTGTTGGTGATGTTGTTGGAGATGCTGTCGGTGATGTTGTTGGAGATGCTGTCGGTGATGTTGTTGGTGATGCTGTCGGTGATTTTGTCGGTGATGCTGTCGGTGATGTTGTTGGTGATGCTGTCTGTGATGTTGTTGGTGCACCGTTTTCTGGTGATTTAGGTTGTGATGGTGAATTGTCTGATGATGATTTGGATACAGTTGCTGCTATGCAACATATCAGAGCAAGAAGAAAAATGAGTTTCTTCATCATTTCTGCAACGGATAAAGAAAAACCGTTTACATTGAATTGATAAGACAGTGGTCTTACAAACACACTGTGCAAATTTGAATGCAACTTACTTGAACAATATATGTTCAGCTCACTTCTACGCTGCATATATACCCGATGTGACCAATGATCGGATAGGAGAAAGAAATAGAGTGCCAATCTGAGCACTTGATCCTACCTGTCATTCAATACTAGGTGGGGCAGGTATTTCGATACTACATGGCTTATGACGCATTTCGTGATTGCCAAACCTTTAAATCTACATTTTTTTCTGATGCCATATTAGCTGGTTCAGTGCGATTAACGCCACATTCATAAAGGTGTAGTTATATTCGGAAAATCTAAGTTCAACAGTAAGACTACATTAAAAACCCACCATTTGAATGGTTTCTGCAGTAGTATCGGAAGTATTCTTTGTGGCATTGTTCGGCTTTCGGTTAATATGCCTACTTTGTGTTCGCTGATCCGTCAACATGCATTCTATTTTCGAATGTAACCTCTGTATTGACAGTCTTAAAGAATTACAATGCAAACAAAAACCGCTGTGAGATAGCGCATATTAGGCATTGAAAGATATGATTCTAAGTATGTCATCAGTGTCAAGTTAATATTTGCAAACTGGTTACTGTACTACGTAGGTAAAATCAGCGACAACATTGTATCCCCAGTCCAAATGCCACCCTAGC